GCGTTCCTGCCCCAAAATAGCCCTGGGTGGGGTACAAAACCCAGTTCTTCTTCATTTCTGGTTGGGAAAACTTTGCTATGGGGAAGTCTGAAGGACCTTCTTACATGCTATGTTCCCAATCTGAACTGGGCCTGTACACGTCTGGGAACGGTGTTCCCAGCACAAATTCACAACGCTCAGATTTGGGCCTGGTGCCGAAATTATAACAGGGGCAGTAGGGTTCTCAGACCCCTGGTCTGGACGGGGGTTCCCCTGATTTCTGGGTCTCCAGCCTGCTGCCAGCCAGTTGGTCGACAAGGGAAGCCCCACCCCTGAGCACGATGACATCACCTGGAAGTGACATCATCGTGTTGGGGGTGACGCTCTAGTTTTTGGGCAAACTCTATGGTTTTTTAGGGCAGACAAGATCCCAGAGGAGAAGCAGGACCTGGCAACCATCAGGGGCAGTGCCAGGTGGACCTTTCTAAAGGAGGGTGTTCCAAAGCCTGAGGGCCACCGCAGAGAATTCCCTTTCCTCAGCAGTCCCCTGGCAAAACTCCTGGAAAAGGCGCTCTGAAGAGGGGCGGCCATTGTGAGGCAGATTCATATCACAGGAGGTCCTGCCCGTTTACCCTGGCCCTAACTCCCAAACTCCTAATGGGAAGCTCTTTTTTACGTGAAAGGAAACCAGAGTAAGACCTGTTCCATTCTGCTCTAGGACAGAAACAAAAGGAAGTTCCTCTAGAGGAAGCAGCGTAGAGCAGAAGATCCACTGGATGTGATCCTTCTTCTTCAGGGCTATGTCTCAGTGGCAGAGCATCTGCTCAGCATGCAGAAGGTCCCAGGTTCAATCCTTGGCATCTCCAGTTAAAAAGGACCAGGCAATAGGTGATGGGAAAGACCTCAGCCTGAGACCCTGGAGAGCTGTAAAGAGGGGCTGTGGCTCAGTGGCAGAGCCTCTGCTTGGCATGCAGAAGGTCCCAGGTTCAGTCCCTGGCATCTCCAGTTAAAAAGGACCAGGCAGGAGGTGATGGGAAAGACCTCTGTGCCTGAGACCCTGGAGAGCTGTAAAGAGGGGCTGTGGCTCAGTGGCAGAGAATCCGCTTGGCATGCAGAAGGTCCCAGGTTCAATCCTTGGCATCTCCAGTTAAAAAGGACCAGGCGGGAGGTGATGGGAAAGACCTCAGCCTGAGACCCTGGAGAGCTGTAAAGGGGCTGTGGCTCAGTGGCAGAGCATCCGCTTGGCATGCAGAAGGTCCCAGGATCAATCCCCGGCATCTCCAGTTAAAAAGGACTAGGCAGGAGGTGATGGGAAAGACCTCAGCCTGAGACCCTGGAGAGCTGTTAAGAGGGGCTGTGGCTCTGTGGCAGAGCCTCTGCTTGGCATGCAGAAGGTCCCAGGTTCAGTCCCCGGCATCTCCAGATAAAAGGGCCAGGCAGGAGGTGATGGGAAAGACCTCAGCCTGAGACCCTGGAGAGCTGTTAAGAGGGGCTGTGGCTCTGTGGCAGAGCCTCTGCTTGGCATGCAGAAGGTCCCAGGTTCAGTCCCCGGCATCTCCAGTTAAAAAGGACCAGGCAGGAGGTGATGGGAAAGACCTCAGCCTGAGACCCTGGAGAGCTGCTGCCAGTCAGTCGACAACACTGGCTTTGATGGATCAGGGACCTGACTTGAGGCTTTCTTAGGGAAGGGCTGTGGCTCAGTGGCAGAGCATCTGTTTTGCATGCAGAAGGTCCCAGGTTCAGTCCCCGGCATCTCCAGTTAAAAAGGACCAGGCAGGAGGTGATGGGAAAGACCTCAGCCTGAGACCCTGGAGAGCTGCTGCCAGTCAGTCGACAACACTGGCTTTGATGGATCAGGGACTGACTTGAGGCTTTCATTAGGGAAGGGCTGTGGCTCAGTGGCAGAGCATCCGCTTGGCATGCAGAAGGTCCCAGGTTCAGTCCCACGCATCTCCGGTTTAGAAGGACCAGGCAGGAGGTGATGTGGAAGACCTTTCTCTGCCTGAGACCCTGGAGAGCGGCTGCCAGTCTCCGATGGTCTGATTCAGTAGAAGGCAGCTTCGTGTATGCTCACGGCACGGTCGCGAGCTGTATGTTGGAAAACAGTGTGAGCTTACAAAGGCATCAACGTAAATAAGACAGGAGCGGATTGGCCCTTTAACTTACTTGGGGAAATTCCCAACAGGCGATCCTCGGAGTGCTGCCAGCAAACCGGAGCAAACTGAGCTGCCTCGTGGGCCCGGCAGTACCACAGGGCCCGCTCGGCTCAGCCGGTGCCGCAGGGAATCATTCCGCTCAGCTCGCTCCTGCTGCAGTCTGTGGCCGCATTCTGATGCTTCAGAGCCGGGGCTTCCGGGACCTCGTTCTGGGGGTCTTTGGGCTTTCTTCGGGACGTGCAAAGGCTTCCTCATTGTGACGGCTGGTGATGGGGGAGACAGGCTTTCCCTGAAGATTGTTTTGACATCCCCGATGTACTTGAAGGAAAGCTGGGTTCACGTGTCGGCCGAGAGGCCTTGCCCCAGTCGTGTGCAACTGGGCCGCGTCCCTGAATCCTCTGCAACATGCAGAGGTCCCCGGGCAGACACGCAGGGGTTCCTCACCCATGCAGGAAGGCGTCCCCTGGACGTCAGCCCTTTGACAAGCGCTGCTTGAGTGAGTTCATTGATTGACACCGCCACACGTGTTAACGGGGGCCCTGGTTAGCAAGCGGAAGGGCTCCCTCTCCTTCCTCTCCCGGCTGTCGATTCCTGCCTCGTTGCCTCCCTGCTGCAGAGCCTCCCTCGAGCAGCTGTTCCGGCAACTGTCTTGCTTTTCTCGAATGCCCACAACGGGGCTGCGGGTTCACGGAGGTGCCGCCCATCGTGCCAAGCAGGGTAGCACAGGAGTCGCTGTGGGCTGGAAGTGGCCCGGGTGGCATGCCGGAGAAGTGCCAGTGAGCTCCACAGGGGGGTTTTCCTGGCATAAGACCACAGGAGGGGGAGCGTGAGAAGTGGGCTGCAGGACGCAGCGAGCAGCCTTTGCACAAGTCCCTGAACGTCCTTGCGGCCAGGGCTGGTCTGCGGCACTTTGTCACCCCGAGTCAAGTATGCCCTTTGCCTCCTTCCGTGCTGCAACCGACTCGATCCAGGCTGGCAGTGGTTCCAGGGCGGTGTAGCGGACCGAATGGCGGACTAGGACTCTGGGTGACCTGGGTTTGAATCCCACTTCTGCGGAAGCTGGCTGGGTGACCCTGGGCCCTTCACTAACTCTCGGCCTTGCCTACCACACAGCAGGATTGTTATGAGGATGAAAGGGTGGAGGGGGAAACGATGTTCTGAAGCCGCTCGGAGTCCCAACTGGGGAGAAATGTGGGATGTAAAGAAATGGGAATACATAAATGCAGACGTGTGCCGTCCAGGGAGTGGGGCCGCTCAACTCCCACGTTGCCCTTGGCCGGGAGCAAGCCAAGTCCCCGTGAGACTTCGGCACTCGCCTCCTTGTGCTGTCCTGAGCAGCCATGGTGGGGAAGCTTGGCTGGAGAACCGGCCCTGCTTGGGTTTGAGTGTGCAAAAAGCTTGGCGAGTGTGTAAGGAGCTTGGTAAGTGTGCTGAAGATCATCTTCCGAGGGCGTGTCTGTCTGTCCCCGTGTGCATACAAGGACCCGGGTGAGTTTTGTTGGAGTTGAGCAGAGCTGCCCCCACCCCCGTGAAGGCTCGGAGGGAAGCCGCGGAGACACAATCCGGCTCGATCTGCACTTTCATCCGCGCGTGATCTCCCCTTCCCTGCTTTGTTCCACTGCCCTCCCAAGATTCCTCGCAACTTGCTGAGAGTCCTCCAGGGAGGCACCTCTTGGAGTCACACATTGTTTCGTTGGTGCCTGCAAAAATGGCTGTTTTGGTTACATGTGCCATTATGCGTGTCCGGGCAGAGGGCCGCTGGAGCGTGCCAGGGACATGTGCGAGGGACGCAGCGGGATAACGGCATGCGGGCCTCGGCAAGGAGGGCGCTGCATCAGCAGACGGGGCGGCTGGGGAGAACCCCTCAGACAAATACATAAATGCGAGACGGATGTCTCAGGAGGAGCCCAAAGAGAAGAGGGAGACTGAGCAGGGTGTAGGGTTGCCAGCAGAGTCCCCTCTAAGCCGAGTTAGTGTGAGCTAGCTCACAGTTGTTTAGCCTCCAGCTCACACCTTTTTGTCTCCGCTCAGGAAGGAGGGGGCTCCAGAGCAAACTGATTTGGGCAGTGGCCAAACCGCTCGCTCACCACTTGAATGCCAGTGGCTCACAAGGTAGAATTTTTGCTCACAGGACTCCACAGCTTAGAGGGCACATTGGTTGCCAGTTCCGGGCTGGGAAACTCCTGGATATTTGGGGGCGGAGCCTGTGGAGAGCGGGGTTTGGGGAGGGGAGGGGCCTCCGCAGGGTATAACGCCCTGGAGTCCAGCCTTCGAGGCCTCCCCTTCTCTCCCGGGGAACCGATCACAGAGTTGTCCAGAGATCAGTTGGCATTCCAGGAGACCCCCAGGCCCTGGCTGGAGGTTGGCAGCCCCAGGGGGCAGGGCCTGGCCATTTTTGCCCGTGTGTGGGGAGGGCGTGCTAGGGACGCGGCGCCCGGCCAGGCGGGTCAGATTCGGGGAAGGGCACAAGGTGCGGTGGGAGAGGGCCGGGTCTCCCCAGGTGCGTGCGCATGTTTGTGCGGTTGTGTCGTGTGCCTCCGCCTTTCCTTGGGCCCCGCCCCCTTACCCGTCTGTTCCCCCTCCGGAAAGGCAGGGGTAGGGGCTGAGTGGAAACTGCTAATTAAGACCTTGGTGTGTCTAATTAACGCTCTCCCCTTGCAGCGAATTAATTAGGCGCCAGGTTGCCATGGAAATGGGATGTGACCTAGAAACGGAAACAGAATTTTTGAGGAGAGGGGCACTCTCATATTTCTGTGGAGACGAGAGTTCCGTGGGCGAGGGGGGGCAGAACGCCCTCCCCCATATCCTTTGACCTCTGGCACGGGCGCCCCTTCCCCCCCCCAACCTTGCCTTCGCTCTGCCTCTTGACCTTTCACCCCATACTGGGCGCTCCCAGGAGAAGGGGCTTTTCGGTCACCTGGCTTGCATTAGGCTTTGGCCTGTGGCCCTTCTAATCTACTGACCCTGACCTCCGGAGACCTGGATTCTGGGGATTTTGACTTCGGGATCCTCAGACCTTTGACCCCTTTGAATGTTATGTCCTCTGGCTTCCATTTGGACACGCCGCGGCCGCTTCTAGCAAAACATTTTGTACCTCCTCCATCCCAAACCTGGGACTGCGTGAACGCCAACCAGATGTGTTACCCAGCTGACCGAGGACTCTTAGGATACTTTCCCTAGACCCCCCCCCCTAGTGCTTTCGGTCGGCCCTGTGGCCGTTGGCCACTCCAGCCCCAAACGCTGCCCACGACTCCGAGACCGCCCGCTCCCTTCCGCCATCTTGTTTGGACAGAGTTTTGGGGTTGGGCTGAACATACGAGTGGAGCCCCTTGATCCCCCCCACTGCAGTGACCCTAAGGATGAAGGACCTCCGAAATGTCCTCTCACCAGCAGCCTCCCTCAGGACTTGCAAACCGGAGGCCTTTGGGGCTTCCCCGTCGGAGTCGACCCATCTCCTGCCGCCTTCGGCTCTCCCAAGCGATATTGTCTTATCGAATGAGCCTTGTCTTCTCAGGATGGGACCAAAGTACAGCGGCCTCAGTTTGGCCATTTTAGTTTCTAGGGAGAGGTCAGGGACCTGTAGTCCTCTATGAGAGCCAGTTTGGCGTCGTGGTTAAAGTGCGCGGACTCTAATCTGGGAGAACCGGGTTTGATTCCCCACTCCTCCACTTGCACCTGCCGGATGGCCTTGGGCAAGCCATAGTTCTGCCAGAGCTGCTCTCTCAAGGACAGCTCTGGGAAAAGCTCTCTCAGCCCCATCGACTTCACAGGGTGTCTGTCGTGGGGAGGGGAAGGGAAAGGAGATTGTCAGCCGCTCTGAGACTCCCGAGTGAAGGGCATGGGGTATAAATCCAATCTCTTCTTCTTCTGTTCTTTCTCAACTGCCCCTTCTGCGGAAGCAGTTAACCCCTTCACAGCCACCGCTCCCTGGGGCATGCGCACAAGCAGGTATTTCTGTGGGAGGGTCCCTGTTTTGTTGTTGGGAATATCCTCGGGGGCTGCCTTTCCCCTCACCGCCTCTCTCTTCTTTCTCATCTCACAGACATCCGAGACAGCGGGAAGAAGCCGGTCATGCTGTTCATCCATGGTGGATCCTACATGGAGGGCACGGGGAACATGTTTGACGGCAGCGTCCTGGCTGCGTACGGCAATGTGATTGTCGTGACCATGAACTACCGGCTCGGCGTGCTGGGTATGGGGGGCTCGGGCCTGCCCCACTGGCTCCC